TATATATTGCTCTTTTTTCTTTAGTGACCAAAAAAACCCCCCAAAAACCAAACTCAAGCTCAGTAATATTTGTAGAGTCTTGCAATTCAGTCAAAAATATCAAGCTACTTGATCATATTCTATTGGAATAAACCATTTTCTGCCATTTTGACTTATAAGCTAATCCTTCTTTTTTATAAAAATAAGATTTTCATATGTAGCAGTAAGACTGCGTGAAACGGAAAAAGCAGTATAAACTTGCTCTCTTTTAACAGAACATGGAACTATTGCACAAGGAGCCTAACCATTTACATTCGTTGCTTCTTTGTCACTTACAACAAAATTGCTCTGCATATGTCTGTTCTTGACGAGAAACTGGAATTAGTTCTAAACCTAATCTTCAAACTTGGTGGATTAGTTTGTCTAATGCCTGGGGTACCTGCATTAGCTACTTCAAACAGAAACGCATTCTGAGCTAGGGATCTTCTGACTCTCTGGGGCAGCTGATCATTCCAAGGCAGCAGGTGTTCAAGTACCCTGTCATTTTCATGCTTGGACTGTTCAGGGTGTCTCTTTTCTAACTACAGAACCCTGCCATACTTGAGAAGGAAAATATTTCAAAATAGAGAGGAATCCTGAAAACTTAAAAAGCACCAAAACCCAACTGCACTTACGGAGGTGGTGGGGAAGGTAATGACAGGACTTACATGCTCACTCATCCTTAATGCTTTGTTTGATGGCAGAAATCAGCTGAAAGCCACATACCTGATGTCAGTGGAGATGGCAGAAGGGTTGCTGAACGAAATTGGCTCCGAGTCGCTGGTTTCTGGCACACACACATCACCATCTGTTGTGGCTCAAAAAATCGACTCTGTAGCCACTGCTGATGTTGTGAATGTAAGTATGCATCCACATCTACAGGTGTTCCTTAGTCACTGCAAGTTTTTTTTTATACAAAACTGGTGCTCATTTGTGTGTGTCTACAAACACACACGTGTACTATCTTTAAAAAGATGCAACTCATTTTCAAATCGCAGCTGGCCACCTTTTGATGTCTTTATTACAAACAGAAGACCCTTTAATCCAGTACACTGTAAAACCTAGTGTAGCTGGGAGTATGTGAAATTCTCATGTATTCTACTTAAATTTATCAAAACTGCCAACTAGTATTCACGGAAAACTTGGTATTAGTTCCAGTGGAGGCACCTCTGTGTCAAGGCTTTTAGGATTCCCGAGTCGAGAATATTCCGTGTGCTTATTAAAACAGTTAGGCTTTCAATGGTAAATTAGCACAACTGCATTGCTATTCTGAATTACCTTGTTGCTTATACTTGAAGCAAACTTCACACAGAAATCCATCAGAAATTCTGAGGTAGAAAACTTGACAGTCGCCATGAATTTGTGTTGCAGTAGCAACTAGCAATAGATTTAGCAGTAAGGAGAGATCCACTGTATTTGTGGTGTAATAATTATTCTAGGAACAACTGTTTTCAAGAGTTTATGCCTTTTTATATACAACTGTCATTCTGCCATTCCTGTTTAGATTATAAAGTAAGGAGGAGTTGGATTAGAAGCGAGTTTAGACACCAAAAGGAACTTGATGATGTACTATAGTAGTGTTGGGATTTGTTTGCTGTAATAACCTGAAACTGAGGCAATGAGCAGCAAGATAAATTCTGTTGTAGTGAATATTTCCTTACATCCAAATTTCTGATTTATTTTCAGGCTGCAAAGAAGTTTGTCAATGGGAAGAAATCAATGGCAGCTAGTGGGGATTTGGGAAATACTCCTTTTCTTGATGAGTTGTAAAAACAAAACAGGGATGTGGATTCAAGATGGACCTGACCTCTAAGTCACCTATGTCCTATATAAATTACTACTAACTTGTTATTTATGAATTCAGTTCTATCAGAAAATTAATCTGGAGTAATTGTGGGCTTGCACTCATGAAATAAAGTGCTGAGTTCGTACATTTTGTGTTGAGTTTTTTCCTCTGAAAATGGTATGTGATGCTGCTATATCTGGCTCTGCACTGAAGGTAAAACTAGAGTGAGAAAGTAAGGTGAATTCTAGTTGATGTGAAAAATAGGTACATCAAAATTGATCACCGTGATGCAGACAAATCCTGTAATTGCCACTAGTTGTCCATGTATTCTTGTATGTTCAGGAAAAGTTCTTGATAAACTGTCTGCACCATCCTTGTGTCAAGTAAATGAAGAAACTCGCCTTCAAAGATGAATGTGTTAGACCTTAGAGCTTGCGACTGCTACTTGTCTGGGAGTAGCAGAGGTACTGTTTCTGAATGTCTTCTCCACAAATAGCATTGATAGATATCTTTGAGGGGAGGGGGGCATTGCTAAACCAGCTTTATATAGATAATAGATAATTTCAGATATCTTAGGACATTTGGATTTTTTGGAAGTCTAGGCATGTATTAAAAGAAAACAGATACAACTTCAGAAACGTAGGTTTTGAAGAAGTCAAGTTTTGAGCTATTCTGAAGCAAAGGCGAATTCTTCCAGACAGGATGTATCTAACAGAGAAGGGCAGGAGGAAGAGGAACTGGTCTCAGCGTTTTCCACAGACCAGTATGAAGGAGGTCCAACACCACTAGCATCAAACTCAGATTTGCCCAATGTATCAACATCATTGTGAAGTACAGCATCGCAGCCAGTGTCTGTGCCTACTCCAGGTGTCTGGCTTGTATCAGACACTTAGCAAATTTTGCATGTTGACAGTAACTTACGAGTGAACTCACAACAATATGACTGGGAAGATTTATACTGAAAAGTTTCCGAGTCTACATCATCATTGCTACCGGACCCAGTGTCATCTTCATCCTCAGCATCGTCACTTGTGCTGAAAATACACAGTGTGATATTACTTTAACAATTAGTCATTTCCATAGCCACTTAGTTACCTAATCACGGAGTCTTTTTTGTGAATACTTGTTCTAAAGACAAGTTCATTAGTTCTGAAGCTCCTCTAATATCAAACTAATACTACTGCCCATAGTCCTTTGCACACCGTTTCCTTTGGACGCTAAAGTAATAGCTAAGTTATAATTCAGTCAACAGAAAAGCAAACTATCCTTTTTCTGCTCTTCAGAATAGCAAATAATTTGATTTATTTAAACATCAGCTTAGAGGTTTAATCCCTTAGAACGCCCCTTGCTGCTTGAATTTCCTTTCTGGTGTGCTAGCCTAATTATCTCCTTTTAATACTTCTGTTCCTTCCGCTAGCTCTGAGGTTTCTTTTCTGTTAAAGCTTTGTGCCTCAGGAAAAACTCGTAACTGCCTTGTATCCCATCTAGATTAATTATACTTGCTATATGAGCCACCTTTAGGAGTGAGAGCAATATATTTTTAAAAGCTTCTGTATGCAATGGCTCTCACAAGAAGAGTATTTTTCCTGAAGTTTTTTAAAAGTCATAATCACTAACCACTGTCAGTAGTTAGACTGATTCAAAAACCAGATAAGCTTTTTAGGTGGTTGTAGCAAGAGCTCCATCGTGGTATCATCAGCTGCTTGTAATTGTCTAGATCCTTGGCTATTACAAACCAACATGGCCTCTTTGACTCCAGTGGCACTGCTGCCAGCCAGACTTCTCATGGTCTCTGTGGAGGCGGGAAGGGGCATGTCTAAAATTAATGTTTGTCCTGACCCTATCTTCAGTCTAACTAGAAAAGTAAACATTTCTTTTAGTATTTGTTCCTTTCAAACCCCAGTTTCCCATTTCAGAAAAATAAATATTTAGAGTATTTTACCCTAAAGTGAAAAAGCTATTACTCTGTTTCTTCGTTCTTGCTAGAACAATAAGTGAGGTGTGAAATTCTAGTTATGAACAATACTATTTCTTACTCTGCTGTCATCACAGGAAACTTTACTTCAGGAATTAATTTAACTGCACTTTGCCAGTGTTGAGGTACTTCAACAAAGTCTCTGTAAACTCTGATTTGTAGAGCAGTTCCTATAGGAATCTTGTGCAGAAGTTGCCTAAGCTCTCGCAGAGTCCATCCTAAAACGTCAGCGTGTCCAATTTTTATTAGAACATCACCTGCCAAGGAAAATAAATTGACAGCAATCAGTTTAAGAGACTTTTTCAATTTTTTAACGTTCATGTCACAAAGCGTGCAGTCTTAACCACTTCCACGTTTCTATGTAACGCATGTGTTCAGCAGCTCTTCAAACCAACTGGATGCACATTTTTTTTTTGCTTTTTCATGAAAGTTTTTTTAGCTCTGTTAAGGACTAACCTTTTCACAACACTAAGGAAAGCTGCAGTTCACTTACTTACTTTGGGATTTTACTAAGTGAACGTGCTAAACTTGAGATTGCCTATTGTTCTGGTTTTGGTGACACCTTTTCAGTACTACCTTCCATTTCATGGGGTTTTTTAGGCAAGACAAAGGTACAACGGTGAATGCCGCCATCAGGAGCACTCCTTGGGACCAGACCGACCCCAGCAAGGTCAAGCTGAGGTTACACAGCTGCACTCCAAACAGTTCTGCTGGCATCTTTCCACGGCTTCCCTCTACCTTTCTCAGCTGGAATACCCCATCTATGCATACCTGCTGCCCACCCTCGTATGTCACCTTGCTGTTCACCTGTTGATACGGAGCCAAGCGTGCCCCTTCCTCCACTGTTGCCAAGTTTACCTAGGCCGGTGTTGGAGAATCTGTGTGACAGCCGCGTCACCTTGTGTCTGTCTGGGGCCCTGGGGAGTTCCAGGGTTTGACTCTCCTCGGTGGCAGGTGCCTGTCCCCCCGGTCCGAGAATGACCAACGGGTGCCATGCTGCGAGACACTGTCAAGCAACGCCAGGGGAAGAGCAGGAGATGCCCGCAAGAGCTGGTGCAAAAAAAAAAGCATGTGTAAAATTTTGTTTGTTGTAAGGGACAAGGCTGCAAGTAATGTTCTTATGACCTGCTGCCAGTGGGAAGCACTGAGCTGCAGTTTTGCGAACAGCAGTACTGCATCCAAGAACAACAGCGTACGGCAGCCCCAGCACCTCTGTATACCATGGGGTATAACAAGATGGTCTTTGGGGGCTGGGGGGAGTTCCAATTACTGGGGAAGCCTGTAATTTTGGAGACTGCAGAAGGCAAGCAGAATCCATCTGCAGCAGACCAGAGCTGTGTCAGCAGCCTGGCAGAAACAGGCGCACAGAGGAGCAGGGTCAGTAAGCATCACGTACTGAACGGCACCAGGAGAGCACAGGGGGTTTAAACGGGCACTACAGCTGTCTGCTGCCGTACTGGGCAGAGCAAGGAGCCTCTCTCCATCTGCTCTGTTTTCTTCTTAGCCCTTTTGGGTTAAAAATACCTCTAGCAAAAATTTACAGGCTTTAAAACTGTTTACCTGAACTACTGACTACCATTTTTTCATTCACGTTTTCTACCAACTACTCCTTCTACTCTGTCGTCATCACACCCTCTCTCTACTTCAGCTTATCACAAGATACTGGTTCTACTGCGGTACAAACAACAAGTTCTGAAACAAGTACCAGGACAGCAGATACCAAAAAAGCAACAGAGAACATTTTACCAACAGTTTTGTGTATGTTCTCAGCCTCAAACAAAAGGGAAATCACCCAAATTACATGTTTCAAAATGCATAGACTTAAATGTACTTATGCTTTAAAATATCTGCAAGACACTCTTGGCTTTTAATAGATTCTTCCAGAATTCCGTTTTTCTGCCCACACTGTCCTGATAACACTGTTGTGGCATGTCAAAGCCGTCTCCGAACAGCAGACATAGATAATTTTGCTCCTCTGCTCCGCAATCTGGAGTCTGAACCACCCAGCTCTTTGGTTCACCTCTCAGTGCTGTGACTGATTTTCATTCAGCAGCCGCTGCAGGTTTGTGTGGAGATAGATAACCTCTTGCACTGTGAAGGCATTTTGAGGAAACACACGTAGCAGCCCTGTTTCTTCTTGCTGGCATGGAGAACCGGGCATGCACATGTGCCCAGGTTTGGTGAGTTTAACTGTAGGATTTTAAGACATTAGTGCCTCCCACTGCCTGGGTTGATTTCTGCCTGCTCCCCACTAAAGTCAGTGGAATAGCACCAGCTCTTTCAAGCTATAAGCAGTAGTAAAATTGTTCTTGTAAGTTCCAGTGTGAAGTTGTACAGGTAATACTCATCTTACTTAACTGAAAAATAAGTCCATAGTGAGAAAACTTACTTCACTGCTAGAAAAACTCCTAAGCAGTGCATTTGTGCATCATATTTTTCTCAAGCTCCATGCTCTGTACATTGGTGTTAGTGCCAAAATAAGCATGCTGCCTGTGGTATCATTAAGAGGCTCAGCTTCTACAAAATACTATCTTTTCCACAAAATTTTACAGCTTTGGTCTTAAATACAGAGTTTTCGTAAGTTCATTCTAAACCTGAATTGAACAAATTCAGCTGTTTGCTTTTTTTGTGCGTGTAGAATGTTCTGAGTTAGATCTAGATGCTCCATGAAGCATGCTCAGATTGTCTCTTTTGTCTTTGAAAGCTAACATTAGCTACACAGGGACAACATTTGTTACCAGCCCTCAGCCCCCTGTAAGCTGTTCAATATTTGCTGCAGTAAATCAAACACATCACATGCTGTAAATAACTGGACTCCTTGTTCTTGAAGCCTTTATTGAAAATGCTTTTGGAGCTTGCTTTTTTCAAACTGCTGCAAATGGAACTACTTCGTTTCAGTGATTAATATTCTGTATTTTTTACATTATAGAGGTAACCCTTCCCCCAAACCAGCAACAAAATCAGTACCATATATTTGCTTTTGCATACCATAGGGGTTTTTTTTAGCGAACAGATGAAAGCTATCAGCTCCTAATATATTATTGTTAGTGTTATTATTATTAATAATAATTATAATGTACTTAGTCCAAATCCATTTATATTTTATGCTCAGGATTTTTCCACTGATTTTTATACTTTGATTAAAAGTGCAAAGCCTTTTCTAAAAAGAGGTTAAGAACTCCACTCAATGGTTTTTATTTCATCAAACAAGTAGATCTTGTGTCCTAGTGCTTGGAATTCTAATTCTGTCCAAAAGGTGCGAGAAGAAAGGACTGCCCAAATCATAAAGGCAATGCTGGGAAATTTGTTCTAATTTAAAGATATGCATTTTCACTATACAGCCAGTGAATTTCTAAATTACTTCATTGCACTCGAGTCATAGCTTCATAGATTTCTATGTTAGAGACAATTTAATATTTGGTAATAACATAGCACACTATTATCCCCAAACTGTAGTTCATGCGTCTAACGTAATTAGTCTAGGGACTCGTATGAAGCAGTCAAATTTACAGAGCTTCCAATTTCAAGCTTAATATAGGTGTCTGATGTTCCACGAGAAACCTCAATAACTCATAATATTCTGTTAGTACTGATAGGGCATACTTCAGGTCTGAAGCATTTAGGAAATGAACACCTGCATGGATTGTTAGAGCACAGAGATTAGCCCATTGCCACTTTGTAACTAGTCTATATAATAAAGACAAGCAAAAAGCAAACAATAAGGCAAATTAATTTCAAGCCTTTTAGAAGTTTTGTGTTACTTGTAGAGTGAAATTCCTTGAACAACAATGCACTGAACAAAGAATGATGTTATTCCAATTTAGTTGCTATCTAAAGGTAACAGTCAAACTATTTTTGGACAAACCTGGTGTTGAATAAGAAATCTGTTTTTGCTGGAGAACAATATATAGACTTAAATCTTGATCTGCTTATGAAACTGCCACCCATATCAGCTATTTTAAGATCACAGGTATTTCATTACAATGGAATGCTGGCACTGAGCTTTATGCAGTCTGTGCTAGTTTCTTTTCTCTGTAATTTTAAATTGAATTTCTTTTGATCTGTGTAAGTATAAATAAATCAGAGACAGGCTCAAAGCATAAATGCAGAACAAGAATATTTTCAACGCTATTACATTTGAGTATCACTGTTGTTTCTTTTTACCTGGTTTTAGCTTTCTATCGTTAGCTGCAGAGCCTTTCTCAACAAGGCCGGTTATCTGGAGATATGGCCCGTTCTGTATGATTATGAGACCCAATCCTTGTTCACTCATCCTAATATTTGCCTTTAGTGCTGCAATCAGTGTGTGCTGAGAGACATTTTCCAGTGCTGGCAACTGCCCTTCAAAGAGTGAGAGGAAAATTTTACTAGTTGAAAGTGTGATATCATTCTTCAATAAAATGTTTAATTGAAACACAAAAATGTTTAAGGAGACATTTGAGCAGGTGCTGTACCCGTTCTTAGTTGTCCAAGCAGTTAAGTCCCTCATCCTTAATTGCTTCTCTAGATAGGCACTGCCTGCTGAGTTGCTGCCAAAAAGCTGTAATAGCAATACTTACAAAAAGTTAGTGTACTCCACAAACTAGCTTTCTGCAAATAAATATACTGAAAGTAGACTTATTTCTTAAAAATAAGAACTATACCAAGAGAAAAAGCAATACTGCTGTTACTTCAGTATTCATTACAAATGGCGATATATTCAGCCAAGGTAGAGAACAGGGTGCACAATAACAGAACAGAGTTGTCAGCTGTTAAGGACTTCAAGAAATTATTGCATTCCTATAAAAAATTATTTTTCAAATCAATATTTACAGAGGAGATTAATTTCTAAAGTTCTAGCAGGTTGGTTCCACACCCTACTGCTGACATGAGGGAAGGGACTGTACTTGTCATATTTAACAGCTACAGAAATAAAATCTTCTTGAGCATTCATTATCCATTAAAATGCATAATACAAGTAATACAATATAAATGACATTATCCCAGTGTCTCCACCAAGAAATATAACGAAATCCTCCATCTCTCAAGCCTGCTGTGCTTGTCAAGTGCTTGAGACTCCTATAACAAACTGCATCCTGTTAACAATTACTTTCTAAATGCTCTGTTTTAAGATGTAATCTCTAAATGTAACTTCTGGCCCTAGGGTAGCAGTAACTTGAACTCCTTGAGAAGTCTGTCTCCAACAGTCTGAAACCACTTAATGAAAATTCCCACCACTTTACTCCCCCTGTAAAATACGGAAACTTGGTGATCTTTCCAATGGCTTCAGTAAACCTTTGGATCAGGCTCTAAATGACAGCACAGAATGTCTATGAAAGAATTATGATTTAAAATATAGCAACGTGAATCTTTGATTTGTCAGTTTGGCTGCTGTACTGAAACACAGAGAAGGAAGCAGGAACAGTTTGATTTTTTTTTTCCCTTCCCAATGAAAAATGCAGGATTTATTGTTGTTGCTGAATAGGATACTACATTTGATTTGGATGGAATCCTTAATTTTCATGGTCATGCAAGAAAAGCAAAGGAAGACCCATTCTGGAGCACACTTTCATCTGTTGATAATTCTGACAGGTCAGGTTTCTGATCAGCTACTGTTTCGCCAGCTCAGGAATTTATGCAAAGCGGAACAGGATCAGTAGAAGGGATCGAAACCTTTCCTGTGGTGTTCTTCGTCACTTTTCAAGAAATGTGTGTTTCAATCTTTTTCAGCCAGAAGGGAGAACTGAATCCTAGTTTCCTACTTCCAGAATGAGTACTTAACTTCCAGGCCAATAAATGTAAACAGATGATATAATGAAGTAAGGCTACTTTATATTATTTTCTAGCTGGAATTATTCAGCAAATTCCATTAAAACTCATGAGCAGTTGTAGGTCAGAAAATGATCAGCAGTGAAACAACAAAGAAAAATGCTACTAACAAATCTAGCTAACTTTAATTAGAAGCCAGAATCCTGAATTTAAGCTGTTTCTTATTTCATAAAGTTATCTTGCTGGACATGAGAAATTCAAAGCCATGAAAGCTGTGACTAATCCAAAGCCTACAAAATATTTAAGAGCAATGCCAAGATTCACACTTTTAGATAAGACTCTTGGCTTTTTTACTATACCAGATACCAGTCTATATAGTTTCCAAGGAAGGGGAATGTTCTCTTTGTTCTGTGCTACAGAAAGTTTAGAGACTTGACAGAATTTACATTACAGTTCCCCTAACAATGTCCTGATTTTCTCCAAGATCACCCTTAAATTCTGCATTTTCTGCAGGCAGCAGCATAGGATCTCATCCAATCCTCTTCTGCTGAAGAAACTCCTTTTCATCTTGTCTTCTGCCTCGAGGGGCTCTCTGAAGAAGACAAACTGTCCGGTAGCACAAGGACTTA